TCATGATAAAGACTTAGACAGCTTCATTCCGGTGTGTTTCTCTACGTTGAGGCAAGCACAGTTAGAGTTACATCGAACAGTTAAATTCAATACGAGTACGTATGGTTTTAAACGGGACCACATAATTATTCCTGCCGAGAACCTTGATCACTCCACTACATCTCTTGGAGGCCGGAGAACGCTTGAAGAACTATTTTTATCCAAACCGACAGTACGCGCCAGAAGGATCGGAGGTGTCTGCGGAAGAAAAGAAATTTCTCGTTCCGGGCCCGACCTGCTAGAAATGTCGTTATATATTTAGCCGCCTCGAAGGTTTCAACTAGGGGTCGCCTCGGGGTTAATAATAAATGTCCCGTACGCCCCCAGAGATGAGCTCGCAGCGTCGGCAACGTCAGCCACTGCTACAGCCACCGTCACCGGCACCGTCACCTCTCCCCGCAGTGCTTCCCTCCCTCCCTCCCACCCTGTCCGCGACCTCGGATTTCCCGGAGGCGCCACACGGTCCCTACAGAGCGCCGAGGTCAACCCCAGACTTGAACCCGCCCCTTCCCAACACGCCAACACATCCCCTTCCCTCCATCCGTCCCCTCGCCCGCTGTGGCCGGGAGAGGTGGCTCAGAGCATCAACTGATGTCACTGCGGTGCCTCTGACCGGAAGGTTCTAGAGTTTGAAACAGGACGAAGGCAGAATTTTCGAAACTAGGTAGTTATCCGAATTCAACCGTTGTCTGGAGCAGCCGGCTGCTCTGTTACTTCAATCACCACCAGGTGAATGCTGGAGCACTACGCTAACAAACCGACCACGTACGAGATTTCCTACCTCTTCCTTGTGTTATTGCGTTTTAATTTCATTCAGAGTCGATGAAGACCAAAAAAAATGGAATATAAAAAATTGATTATTTGCACGTTAAAACTACGATAAATTTTGTCTTCGGATTTTAACAGAAAGTTTCTAAATGCACGTTGAAATCACGTCGCACAATGCAGATGAAACTAAAATGTTTTGAATTCCCATTGTCACAGCGAATAAACATCATAGAAACAATATTTTTTCCATTTTTTTACTTATGCGTAAAACAATCAGAAACTGCACACTGGAGTCCAGCAGACTCTACTTGCACTATTAACCAATCAGTATCTATCAGTATCCGCGAAAAAGTATTGGCACCAGCTGAGGCTGGCAGTAATACGATGGCAAGCTGTTTAATTAAAATTTGCGAAAAGCGCTATGCAACTCTCGTCATAAATTTCCAATTGTTTAAAATTTGAAATTATGTTGGGTTCCAACTGACCTCAGTGTGCAGTCGTAGGGTGAACTTGACATTTTCGCTACGCGTGTCGAAGTTTGGAGGCGCAGTTCTGACCTTCAGCCTACGCGATTAATATGAACCATCCTTGAGCCTGTGCTACGCATAATTTCGTATTGTCATTCGAACTAAAATACAAAATGCCATTGTTATTCAAACTTTGTAAACGGAATGCCCTCCTTCCTGACACCATTCTTCGCTTTTTGTTCACCGATCTCGAAGTCGACTCTTCACGAAAGGGATAAGGCCCGTATGTGTTACTCGTGATTTTGACAGTACACTGCTTCGAAACTGGCAAATGAAATTGAAACGTATTCAATAGAGGCGCAGAATAGAAATTAATACCCAGAACGAGCTTCAAGAGGTATGCACATCTCACCAATTGCGAGTGGTACAAAATATTACAATGCAGTTTCACGAATGTTGACGACAGAATGTAGCTACTTTAGACCCAAAATATCATTTTGCATCGGTTTTATTGAATGTGATGAAACCAACTTAGTTTGCAAATGGAACTTTGCATTTTGAGATTCTTACGATGGACGAAAAAAGACTAATTCATTTTTTTAGAATCTACATTTTAGATAGTACTTATATGCTTGATAAAATTTTGAATGGTGAGTTTTTGGGTTCAAGTCCGATGAATTTTGAATGCCTTTACCTTGGTAGCCTTTAAGCAACGCGACGATGCTCCATGCCTGGTCCTACATGAGACAGCGGATCACAGTCATTTACAATTTTACATATATTCGTATTCGCCTTGAGTCAATTGTGAATCATGTATGGTGCATTCAATATCTGTTTCCATTTATGCCGTAAGTTTCGGCATAAACGACTACGATATTTATTGAGCTTCTATAAAGTAATTGAATTATTAATTAAGCTGACATTATTTCGAAGCAAGTTATTTATTACCCTCTTAGTACTATCTAAATCACTAGTAAAACATACATTATTACCCTCCTATATGCACCCCATCCTCCGTTGCAACGCCGAAAAACATTAATCGCACAACTTTTCTTGAACGATGACCTTGCTTCCTCCTCTCTGACACAACCAACAGTTGAAGACAAAAGCTCACAGGGAGCAGTCATGACATTCCAATCACATCTTCACTGGCACGAAATAGAAACTACTTTATGTTGAAGATGAGAACGTCGGTTAGTGATGTTCTCAAAAAAATCTAGAGAAATCCATCGCAGGAGATACCTCGAAATTTCTGAAAAAGTTAGAATGCAAATTACTGAAACAGTTGCGAAGGCATGACACGGCATGACCGATTCTCCAGATTGGCAGAGCTTCATTAAATCTAGTGGCCTATTTCGTAACTACTTCTTCAAACCATCGTTAGAGAAAAGTCGCGATAGTAATACACAGATCTGCACACGACTGTCAATATCTTACCTCGACATTTTCGTCCTGGGCAAAGACGGCTCCACCTCCCGCCTTCACACACATTCACCGCTACGCACCACCACACAACACAAACCAACACAACGTACGTACATCTTGGCGTGACAACACGGCGCCTCCACGGCATTATTTTCGCCAGAAAGAACCTCCGGCTCGTATGCCCACGGAAGGGCTCGCGAAAGGGGCAGGGCGGCTTGGCGTGGGCACGTGCCGGGCCAGACTGAAGCGCCGGTTGCTGCGCGGGGCCCGCCGCTGGGTCACGTGGTACGCCAGCTGCCAGGGGCCGCGGAAGAGACGCTTAGCAAGTTCCCGCTCGCTCACCCCTCGACGACACGCCTCGCCTCGCACGCACGCACGCACACTCACGCCCTCATCCACGCGCACACGCCCACACCTGCCCGCACTCACACCTGTCACTTTCTTTTTAAAAAAGACACTCTTATCCCTTATCGCGCTTCACGTGGAGGAACCGAATCATTTACGCGAGAACTTGGAGAACGACAACACGAGCCGGCAAGCGGAATCGTGTCTATATAAACGTAATATTTTATGGCTCAGTTGAAGCTTAGGTACGCGTGACGAAGTTGGTGGCAAGGCTCCGGTCTTCTGCCTAGGTGATTAATATAAAACAACCTAGAGTCCAGAATTTAATTTCCAAAGAAGTTAATTACAAAGTTGCCCAACAGTTTATAACAAAAAGAAAAGCAGAAAATTAATACAAATAATTTATTTAACAAAGGATTTATAATTTATTCTAAAATATTTTTTCAAGAGTCTTCTCAAGTACGAGGACACCCAAAGTTCTACCGGCTGAGTTTAGTTCAGAGCCAGCGTTGTGGCGGTCTCCGACTGGGAGGTTCTACATTCGAGTCCCGTCGACGGCGTTTTTTCGATCCTAGTTCGCCAAGACAAATTCAGTCACACTCTAGCGACCGGTGGCTCTGATCGGTAGTTTTCCATAGATTATCAGATCAATAACAGGTGAATGCGGGCCACGACGCACGGACTGCGCGCTATGTTTCCTTCCTCTTCCTGGTGCAATTCCGCCCCCCACTTACTCACTAAGCTACCACGCACAGAGCACAGGGCTTGACCCAATTGAGACGGTCCTCTCTCTCTCTGAGAAGCTACCTGGAGAAAATTTCCGCGCAGGTCTAACATTCAATATACTGACAAGCCGGAAACATCAATCAAACAAATCAAATCAACCGAAAGTGCTGTGCCCACTCGGTAGTTGACTGAGATCCAAACTGGTCAGTAGGACATTTGCAAACAATGTAAAGTATAGTTCTTTTTACGTTTTTCATTGCCGCGCAAAATAATCTTCATGTGCTTCTGCAGGCCACTCGGCTTTGCTGAAATTTCTATCTTATCAATGTTCTTCGACCGTATAAAGGGTCAAATATGTACTGACAGTCACTTTTGGCAAAACACAGCTGTTTTTCTTAAATAATAAAGATATGAAAATAATCAATTTTAATAGAGCAAATAACGACAGCATTAGAATTCATTCAACAACGTCGGTTTCTAAAATATGAAAGTCGATAAATATAATTTTAAATAATATTATACATAATTCCTATTTGCAAAGATGGATAATCTTCTTTTCGTATGTAGGGTTAACGAATTCGAAAATATTTCCTTTTAGGTGGTTTAAGAAAGGAATTGGTGCGACTCTTACTGAATTTAGAAGCTGCCTAATTTGTTACACTAATTTTTAATTTAGCATTAATTTAACATTTGTTTCTCCGATGCATTAATGATCAGTAATTTCCATTACTCAGCGACAAACATTTTTAAAGTCACATGAATTTTCTACGTAGTTGAGTAGTGCCATGTTACTAGCTATATTTATCCACACGCAACCTTCTCCCCACACTGTAATAATTAAATAAGAATACCATCGTATTTGACCGTAAAGCACGCCCACTAGTTTGTAATAGTAAGTTTTGCCTGGTTCAAAATAAATTCGTGTAGGTATGTACGATTTCGCGCGTATTCGCACATAATATTTTAAAATTTTAAAACGCAAAAATACAAAAGGACAACATTACATTTACTTCAGCCAATATCTTTTCACAAAAATAATTATATTAATTGCATTCCACGATGTGTTATACACAATATTTCGCAGATTAAATAAATTTTACTTTGTATTCTTTCGAAACAAGCCAAAAGAGGCTTTGAAGTCATACACCTGTACTGCTATTGGCTGATAGATAATGAGGTTAATGCGAGTCTCCGGTTATTACGTAGTCACCGCGCTGGCTGGCGAACCGTTACCAATAAATGAAGCTGAGAAGAAGGATAGTTAAGTTGTGTAGCATAATCTTCTACCCGTGTTAGACCGTCTGATAACACACTGGTAAGTTACGACCATTTCGAACGTATTTGTCTCAGAAGCATTTATTTGCGTAATTTATTTAGTCTCCGCAATCTTATGTTTATAAGTGATCATTTCAATTCGTGTGCAGCTTATGGACCCGTTTACAGAAATCATGGGATTTTTCAAAATTACAATTAAATTAACCGTACAATGTTTAATGAAAATCTTCTGGGACTAACAATAAAACGGTTACTGTAAAACCTCTCGTTTACCAGGTTTACAGGTTGATCTTTGTAGAAGCTTAAAATGTCTGAACTAGTTAAACTACGACAGGTCTCGCGAGATTTTCCCCCCTTAATCTTGATAACTGGTTTGTTGCATTTGTGTTGTGGTGGAATAAAAATAGAGAACTTTGGACTCTGTTACAGTTGACAGTGAAATAATCCCGAAGTCTTTCTTATATCGGCCCTACCACGTAATGTAAATTATTTCATTGACAATGGCTACTTCTCCGCGTCTATTCACGATTAGTCTTATTCCACTTCTATGTAACGTGCCAAATCCTGATTGAGTTGGTTGCTGGAAACAAAAGGTTTACTCCTTGACATGTACTCATTTTCGCCAAGGAGTACTGCAACAAATGGCCTCCAGTATCCCATTCCTTTAGGGTATTTGTGAAGGGCATTAAAACTCAAATACGATCTTTAGTTAGTAAACAAAACGTAACTGGGAATTTAATTTTTTTTTCTTTTAATAGAACTACACCATGCAGGATCAGCTGTCCGCATCGGGCCCCAGGGTGCCGCCCAACACCCCGGCGACTGTGTCTGAGTACTCCACGCCGGGCGGCGCTCCGTCCCCGCGCTTGCCGCTGGTGGTGCTGACGCAGCCGACGCCGGCGGCGACCCCGCAGCCGTCGCCGCCGCTGCCGCCGGCGCCGCCGCAGCCGCCGGCGCCCGGCACCCAGAGCTTCTCGCAGCGCGTGCGCGCTTTGCCGCTGGTCGCGTCCGCCCTGGACGCGTACCGCTCGGCTCGCGCGGGCCAGGACGCGCTGGCGCTGGCCGTCATGTGCTCGGAGGTGGCGGTGGGCGTGGCCACGCTGCCGGCGCGCGCCGTCGCCGCGCCCTTGACCGCGCTCTGCCCCTGGCCCGCGCGCGCCGCCGACCGCCTGCTGTGCCTGTGGCTCGACGCCATGGAGACGATGGTGCCGTGCATCAAGGGGCCGCCCAGGAAGGTAAACGGTGGAGCTACCAAACAGTCTTGGTTGAAGGGGTGGAGCGCAGCAGAGGAAGCCAAATGTGGCATTTTTTTAATAGGTTCTATATTCAGCTTGTGAAATAAGATGGACAAATCGTTGCGATATACTCCTTACAATTTACTTTCAGTTGCACGGTATATACCTTAGGAAAAAGGTTCACAAGGTTACATCAGTTATCGGTAAATCTTATTTACGAGACTGAATATTTAGGAAAAGTTAAAATGTTAAAATTATCTAAATTTAGAATTTTGCTTCCTGCCGCATCTTAAAATTCAAAGGTCGTTAATTTTGCTTAGTCTTTTTATACATGAAGTTTTATACAATTCATTTAGCAATTTTTTTTACTAATGCTAAGGAATATTTCGTTCCTTATTGTTGCTTCTGCAAATGCTTTCTACTAGAACTATTTACTCGGCAACGGTATTCTTTACCTGCTATTACATTCGTGAAATGAGTTTCCATATAATTAATTTCAAAACTTTTTCTCTAAAAAATCTTGCGGATCTTCTCCGTCTCTGAGGATACTATTTGTAATTTTGACTAGAAAGGATAATTGGTTTTTATTTAATATACAAAGTACGGAAATAATGTAAAAATTTCAAATATATGGAGATTTTTCAAAATGGTTTAAATCTGCTTAGATTTACTTCTTACCCTTCAATTACGTACAATTTTTGCCGCTGGATTAATCACTTTCTAAAATGACTACTTAACAAAATGAAGTACATAGACAACGCGATTTTTTCTGCTCCTAAACAAATTCGGTTCTTTCCTAGCGCTTGTTTCCTACCAAATACTTCAACGGTTGCTTTCTAATTTTCAGATGTGTCGCCCCGTACGCATTTGCTACAGGACCTCTAGTGGCAAAATACGCTCTATACCTGGTCTCATTTGGATGTCTACAAACGATCTACTCTCCACGTCATGTGGTGAGTTACTGATGTCATCGGCGGAAAAGATTATGCTATCATTCGACGGTTACGTCGACGTGATCCTGCCGTCTCCGGAGTCTTCAGACGGTACGACATCTTTTCTTTTTTAAATGTTCTCTGAATTCCTTTTTGTTTCTACCGATTAGTTTTTCTTTCAGCTTACTGGTTTCTGCGTCTCCTCTCTGCCCTCGCTCACTTGCCAACTAACGTCGCCCGCCGCGTATACGACATCTTACGCAGTCTAATGGATCACGTCGCACTTCGGGCCCAGCAAGCGAAGGAAGCGGCGGCGGCAGAAGCCGAGGCCCAGGAGTTCGCTCGGAGACACCACTCGCGTCGACTTCCCAGCATAAAATTATTTCCTTCAGAATAATAACCTCACTATCATGAAACTGTAAACTATTTCGGAGCAAAGCTCGCTAATCCTAGAATTGATTTTTTTTACATCACTTTTAATCATTTTTAATATTAACATTGTATGCAGATTTATATAATAAATTTATTCATTAAGAACTCTGGTTCTGAAACCCGGTCCCTAACCCCGAACATAGTTTCAAAACACAGACTAGACAATGTCCCTCCTACTTCCCGATCTCCTTTCGAATCTGTTCTACTTCTGTACTATGTTCTGTACTCTTACTCTCCTGAATCTTGTCAGCTTCCCTGCCCTAGCAGGCAAAATGTCGTAAAATTGCCAAAATATATTTTTAAAAAAATCCGGCAATCGTCAGTTCGAATCACTCTGGACACCGTTCATAGTTTTGTGGATTGCTTTTGAGGCGTTTAAAATTCGCTACTCATCATAAACCTTCGATTTTAATGAACGTATTGTATGTACTTAGTCTGGGGTAGGGTTTGGGTGCAATATGGTGACGATAGTTTGCTGAGGGTGTTGATCATTTTGTGGTTCCAATTGACTAACTTCCGAATAACCGTGGTTTCATGTCGTCTGCACCGCATCGCGTCTTTGTAAATAAAATACTGCGATCTACTTCACATCGTGTACCAAAACGCGCAATTCCCATGAGGCGATGTCTTGGTAGTCAATAGTTGGTTCCATGGAAGGGAACCGCCAAGAATGGAGCGTCAGAATACAAATTAACATTACAAATATCGCATCCAGTTGAGTCATAAAGCACACTTCGTGTTATTCCATATGGGAGATGAGAGCACACATGTGATTGGTAGGAACGATTTTAATGAAAATATTTCTTTTCACTTTAGAACAATGCCTTTTAGTACTGACATAAATTTTGTTACGACAAAAGGTAATGATCCATTTTTATGTTTTCTTTTGCATTTTTCTTTGATTTTGACCAATATAAGTTTTTACTTTTTTCCACATTTTAAAAACAATCACTTTTTTACTGATTTCATACATCTTCATATCTTTTTAATGATACTTGCTTCAAATATTTACGAGATGTAAAATATATCCTTCAGAGAATCCTGAGTAACCTATTAGATTTCTTCGCTGAGAATTTGTAATTTCAGCCCTTGTATGTATTTTAATGTTGCTGTGGCGCTTATCAGCACTATTCTCGGTTTGGCCGATTTTGCAATAACTAAAGAAAAAGAGTTTTGGTTAAGAACAGTACAAACAAAACATCTTAAGGTGAATTTCTTGAACGAAAGGAAGTCTGGATTACATAAGTAACATATCCAACAGTTTGAGTTATTTATCTGAACTGGTTTTGATAAATTTTTTTACGACATTATTCTTTGCTTTTGGGGCATTTCTAAAACATTTCAAGAGCATTTTATTGATCATGTTTGGCGACGTTTAAGGTCATCAACATCAGCCTCCTAGTGATTTGTATTGGTGGTTCCAAGGGATCACGGCAGTTGCGTGGATTCCATGGTTTGAGTTGGCGGTTGCGCGTGGAAGGCGCGATCGGGAAGCCCACAGCCCCTCGGGGCTCGCCGCTGGGAACTACTGCGCCCCGCTCCAGCCCAGCCGCGCCCGCCGCTACCCCAGGCCGGAAGTGGTAAATCGAGAAGCACCGCGACGGCGCCCGCACCCGCACGCGGGAACAATACGCCGGGCCGGGCCCCAGCCCTAGCCACAGCTCCACTCACAGCGGCACCGGCGGCGGTGGAAGTGGCGCCGGAGGCGGAAGGGGCGGGGCAGACGCCGGAGGCGGCGGAGGCGGCGGAGGCGGCGGAGGCGGCGGCGGCGGCAGCGGCGGTGGAAGTGGCGGAGGGAATCGACGTTGAAGGCGGCGGGGCTGGATTGATTGATTGGCACGTCAACGGCTATGGTCATAATTCCCGTTAGTATAATGAATGTTTCTAATACTAGGAAGTGGCCGTGTTCCTCCCTCTCGTGATGGTGAGATCAAGCTCCGACCTACACGTCAGCTTGCGGAAGAATTTCTCCTCCGGGCATCTCTCTCCACCGGGGCAACTCTCCAGCAGGAACAACGTCTTGGCTGTTGTCGTGTAATAATAATAATAATAATAATAATTATTATTATTATTATTATTATTATTAATATTATTATTATTATTATAAGAAGAAGAAGAAGCAGAAAAAGAAGAAAAAGAATAGTTGCAGTAGCCGTCGTCTGCTCCGACGTGGCTGCAGGTTCGAGTCCTAAAGTTCGTATGATCGTATTTGTGATCGTCCCTTCACCCCTCACCATCAACCTATCACCTCATAATTCATAATTCAAGGAGCAACAACCTTGTCTTACTAAGGAATACAACCGAAAAATTTGATTCCCTTAATTACACACGTTTATCTCTCTCCAGGATAGAATAAGACTGAGCCTCAGAAAAGAAGTGTAATGTCAGTAATGAGCGATAAGCAAATAATAATAATAATAATAATAATAATAATAATAATAATAATAATAACAAATATTTAGAATTCATTTGTGCAATGGTATGTATCCTATGTATATTCTGTGATTGTAAGATCACAATACGTTAGTTCCTTCGAAAATATTTCTATCCTTCATTGACCTCTAAATCATTTTTCAGAAATCAAGAAACTGCAAATATAGCCATTGATTTACTTCCTCTCCCTAGAACAACAAATATTCACAAAAGTACAATTCGTGACATCCGCAATTACATTTCCATTACACATAACTGAAACAGGTGTTGGGTAGCAGTTATATGGTCAGTAACGTTTTGGTGTCAACCACTCCACAATTTTTTTTTTTTTTCATTTAATGAGTTGAATTGAATGTAGTTATGAGACCCATCACAAAATCAATTTCCGTACATGCTTACATTTACTGACATGTATATATTTCTAACACTGGAAGCATCTATCTTGATTGACAGAGGAAGAAGGATCCCTCCGGAATGCTGATACAATCATTCAATCATAAACCTCATACATCCAAATTCATGCGCATAATCGAGATATGGAGGTCAGAGCCGCATGTTTATTTTCACTGTGACCAAAAAATATGTCCGTGGAGACGGAAAGACGAGGCTTTCCAATCACGTGTGGGGACATTTTTCCATCGGATCCGCGAACGCATACATCTCCGAAAACCCGCTCATCGCGTGGTTAACACAATCGTCGCGAGAGGCCGCCACAACAGCGCGGGGCGGGGAGCGACGTCCTGACGCGGAGGCGGGAGAGAAATCGCGCGGCGGGGGCGGCGGGAAGGGGAGGGCGGTAGTGGGCATCGGAAAGGGGCAACTCCGCGGGCGTGGACAGGCGGGTGAACCACCTCTCGAGTATAAACCGAACGGGGCCCACACAGTCCGACGTTCATCATCTTTCATGACGTTCTCCTGCAGCACTCACTGTCCGTTTAGAGCCTAAGCGCCGCTGGCGTATGGATGGAACGCGGAACGCGCCGGCCGAAGGAGCGGGAGTGGGACCCGCCGATCGCAGTAGGGAGAGCAGTGGACTCGGTGCTCGGAATGGGCGCTAACAGACGGCAGGCGAAACACCAGAACGGAATGTGGGGAAAGGAGGGTGAGCAGAAACAAGGAGACCGGGGCGGGCGACCGGTAAGGGCTTGTGAGTGCGTGAGCGACGGAGCGGGGATGGGGAGCGGGAGGGTTACCGGGACAAGTTGTGAGCGGGGTGTGTGCGGCGTGGGCGGTGGGTGGAGCGGGTGAAGGGTGGAGCGGGGGTGAGGGTGGAGCGGGGGGAAGCCGGAGCGGAAAGGGTGGAGCGGGAGCAGGTGGAGCGGGGTGAGAGGTGGAGACGGGGAGGGGGAGCGGGAGGGTGGCGAGCGGGAAGGTGGGGCGGGGAGGGTGGACGAGGAGGGATTGGGGCGGGGAAGTGGAGCGGGACGGGTGGCAGTGCGAAGAGGGTGGAGCGGGGACGGTGGAGCGGGAGGGGTGGAGCGGGAAGGCTTAGAGCGAGGAGTGGTGGTGCGGGGAGGGGCGGAGCAGGGAAAGGTGGTGTGGAGAGGGGCGGAGCGAGGTGGGACGGAGCGGAAGGAGCGGAGCGGGGAGAGACGGAGCGGAGAGGAGATGGGTGGATCGGGGCGGAGAGGTGCGTTGCGGATTTGAGCGGGGTGGTGCGAGCAGAAGCGGGGCGAAACGGGATGGAGCAGTGGATCGAGGCGAATCGAGAGGATGCAAGAAGGAACAGGGCAAAGCGGGAATGAGCGGAACGAGGCGGGGAGATGAATATTACAGAATGTGCGGGGAGATCCAGAATGGACGGGGTGAAGCTGGGTGGAGTAGAGCAAATCGGTCCTGTAGAGACACGCTGTCGCGGCCAGCGCCGTTGTCCCGTAACCTTCACCAACCGCCTGGGGCAAGCCGAAGTACAGCGATCAGCGCGTTCGTCATCCACCTCACAGGCCGTGAACTGCTGTTCATCAATGCGGATTTGTGGTGGACAAAATGGGTTCGCGGACGGTCTTTGATCTCCAGCCTCGCCTTCACACACATCACTCACAATGTCACTTCTTATTTTGCACCGTCTTTTTCATCACGCGCCTTCCATAGCCACGCACATTAAACTTGAATGGTAGTGGGAAAACGTCTATCATGCATCCTGTCAAATTACGTCTTATGATAGATGAATTATAAATAATTTATTTTCCTCGTACCGCACTGTATTCCGAGTAGGATGTGTGCCAAATTGTCACCAACAAGTCATTACACATTAATTCTAGTGTATCGAAATTCACTTTATACATATTCACACCTTGTAAAAGAAGGAAGCGTTTCAAGTATTTCAACAGATAAATTCGCAACATTTAGCAAACGTTTAATGCGACTTCGAAAAGTGACCAGAAAAATACATCTACATACATCTCCCTAAATCACCGAAAAAATGCAAATATTGCTAGGTCTTCTCCCAGAGCCAGGTTGTTAATTTGTGCATTTAATGTGTACATTAGTATTGAGCAGTCTAATTCGATGCGCCAGTAGGTCGAATTTTTCATTTTAAATGTTATGCGAAAAATAGAAAAAACATTGAAGGAACACGCAGATTAACCAACTTTCCAGCAAAGTGTACACGTAAGTTTCTACTGAGATTCTAGTTTCAGAGATGTATCTAGGAAACCGGTGCCGTCATTTAT